AAGAGCATTGTTCATGTTCTGACAGGAAGAGAGGTCCCCTTTCCTGCTTGTTTTCTGCTCTTTCCAGCTGCCAGTTAGCAGGAAAGCAAGGGTAACTGCTTTTGGGTTTAACTGGGCATGGTTGAGCCTACAGCTCATTGCCTGCTTGGGGTATGGGCTCTGGAAAACCATGAAGAAAGCAGCATTTCCCAGGTCCACTAGACAGACCCTCATTTGGATCCCTAAAGAGACATGTCTCACTCAAGTATCTCTTCGGTGTTTTCCAGAGTAAGAGAGCGTGTGGACTAATCCATGTTGCAAATTATGGTGTTTGCTAATATATACACATGTACACACAGAACATATGCTCTCTGGATGTTAGAAAAATGATAAACTAGGCCAGCCACAGTGGCTTACACCTATAATCCCAGTGCTTTGAGAGGATGAGGTACACATGTCACTTGAGGTCAGGAGTTCGAAACCAGCCTGGTCAACATGGTGAAACCCTGTCTGTACTAAAATTACAAAAATTAGCTGGGTGTGGTGGCATACACCTTTAGTCCCAGCTACTTGAGAGGCTGAGGCGGGAGAATCACTTGAACTCGGGAGGCAGAGGTTGCAGTGAGCCAAGATTGTCCCACTGTACTCCAGCGTGGGTGACAGAGCAAGATTCTGTCTCAAAAACAATCACACACACACACACACACACACACACACACACACACAGAAAAATGTTAAATTACCCATTGTCACTCTTGTAAATGTTCACATAATCACTCAGTGTTCTGAGACCTGCTGAGGTCAAAGACCTTGTATAAATTTGAGATGGATTTTGGTTTTACAAGGACTCACATTTTTCTTCTGAGCAGGAGTGTAGGCATACCGTGGCAGGCTTAAGAAACCCTGGAGTGAAATGGCTTTAAGTTAGAAGGGGAAGCCTCATATACTGCTGATGGGAATATAAAGTAGTACAGCCACTTTAGAAACTAGTCTCAAAATAGACACTGTGTTACGTGTCATACAGCAATTCTTTTAGGCATATATTCAGGAGAATTGAAAACATAAATCTGCTCAAAAACTTGTACATGAATGTTTATAGCAGCATTATTAATAACAGCCAAGAAGTGGAAATGACACAAATTTCCATTAACAGATGAGTGAATCAATGAATAAAATGTGGCTTATCCATACAATGGAATTATTTGGCCAAAAAAAGGAATGAAGTACTGATGCATGCTACAACATGGATGGTTTCATTTATATGAAATGTCCAGAGTAGGCAAATCCATAGAGACAGAAAGGAGATCAATGGTTGCCAGGGTCTGGGTGAAGTAGGATTGTGGAGTGACTGCTAATGGGTACAGAGTTTCTTTTTGGGGTGATAAAAATGTTCTAAAATGGATTGTGGTGTTGGTTGCATAGCTCTGAATATCCTGAAAACTGCTGAATTGTACACATTAAATGGGTGTATTGTATGGTATGTGAATTATATCTCAATACAGCTGCTTGCTAGCTAGCTAGATACAGATATTCACATTGTCAGCCCCTCACTATGTGTACCAGGACAACACTCTGTACTTTTCAAAGACACAAGCTGTCCCTGCTCTGTAAACACTACCTTCTGCAAAGGTGCAAACTCAGGTAGCCTTTGTTATTCTCTTGGAGAAGTACATTTTTATTTGCCCCAAATAGAGTAATGGTCCCATGATGAATAAGTAGGAAGTAAGATCATTTGTGGCTACACTTGATAATATAAATAAATCATCTTTATGAAAGCTGAAGAGTTATAAATTAGGACCCAATTTACCTGCCTGGACTGTTGAGGCTGTCGACACTAATAATCTTAGAGAGCTTTAAGAAAGGTTGGGGAATGTGGCATTTGTCTTTTTCTTTCTATCTTTCTTTCTTTTTTTTTCTTCTTTTTTTTTTGGGGACGGAGTTTCTCTCTTGTTGCCCAGGCTGGAGTGCAATGGTGTGATCTCAGCTCACCGTAACCTCCACCTCCCAGGTTGAAGCGATCCTCCTGCCTCAGCCTCCTGGGTAGCTGAGATTACAGTCATGAGCCACCACGCCTGGCTCATTTTGTATTTTTAGTAGAATCAGGGTTTCTCCATGTTCGTCAGGCTGGGCTTGAACTCCTGACCTCAGGTGATCCGCCCCCCTCGGCCTCCCAAAGTGCTGGTATTACAGGCGTGAGCCACTGCACCCAGCTTAGAAAGGTTAGGGAATATGGCAGCTGTATTTTTTAGCAGCTGAGCACTTGGAAAAAAAGTGGATTAATCATCATACATATGGTGATCCATCAGGATACATTTGCAAATCTATTGAAAATTGATTTTCAAAACCTTTCTCAATTTGTGGCTCTTTGTTCTCATTCAAGATTTTGTGTGAATGGTATTTGGCACTATCAGCACCAACAGGGTGGAATTAGTTGTCCTTTTAGTTCTAATTTGGAGATCAATCTTTCCATATCTGCAGTCCGGATTTTAGCCTCCAAGCCCTAGAATCAGCAGTATTATTCCAGAAATATTTAGGAACCTCAGAGGATGCTGTGAGGACAGTGAGTATTAAGCCTAAGGTTTTGACTGTGGGAAAAGCCATTTCATTTAAGAGATACCTTGCCTTAAGCACCTTAGTGACCCCAGAAGGAAAGCATTGGATAGGCAGTATGTAGACGAGCTCATTTGTCTTCTTCTTATGGACTAAATGCTTAATGAATCCATCTGGAAGAATGGTAATTTGCTTACTAATACAGATTTTCCAGGGCATTGATGGCTTCAGGTGGCAGACAGGCCTCAGGTATTAAGTACAAAGTGTTAAGCCAACATGTGTTAAGTACAAAGGATTCTTTATAGACTTTCAGTTTGCAAGGTACAGATAGTAACTCCCCTCCTTCTCCAGGTCTTCTCAGCTTTTAGGAGCTATTAGCTTTCCTGCAAGGCATAACTGGCATCAGACCATTCTACCTTGTTTGTATGGAGAGTGTTTGCTGAAGAGGGCGGAGCTGGAACTGAAGCAGGTTCAGGCATGCCTTCCTCATGTTTCGACTGGAAATCAGATGAAGCTTGAGATGAGAAAAAAATCAGATCTATGCCTCACTTCAGTTACATTCATATTCAGTTATAAAGCGAGAGGAAACCATTTCATTAAATGGGTTGGGATTGGGTTTTCAGGCTTCTTTCCTAAGAATTTGTTTTCCTTCTATGTGATAGTAGAATAAATTTGCTGTTTTATTTATTTATTTTGAGACAGAGTCTCATTGTGTCGCCCAGGCTGGAATGCAGTGGCATGATCTCAGCTTACTGCAACCTGTGCCTCCCAGGTTCAGGCAATTCTCCTGCCGCAGACTCCCGAGTAGCTGGGATTACAGGCGTGAGCCACCACACCCAGCTAATTTTTACATTTTTAGTAGAGATGGTGTTTCACCATGTTGCCCAGGCTAGTCTTGAACTCCTGACCTCAGGTGATCCACCCGCCATGGCCTCCCAAAGTGCTGGGATTGCAGGTGTGAGCCACCATGGCTGGTGTAAATTTGCTCTTTTAAATAGCAATGATTATGAGGTGTAATCAAGACTCTCTGTTTAGTGTTAGAGCAGGATAATAGTAGTAGCTAGTATGTATTGATCCATGATAAATACAGGTTGAGTACTCCTTATCTGAAATTCTTGAGACCAGAAATGTTTCCAGTTTTTTCAGATGTTGGAATATTTGCATATACATAATGACTTATCTTGTGGATGGTACTCAAGTCTAAACATGAAATTCATTTATGTTTCATATACATCTTACACATATAACCTGAAGGTAATTTTATATAACATTTTAAAGAAGTTTGTGCATGAAACAAAGTTTTGGCTGCAACCTATCACAGGTCAGGTGTGGAATTTTCCACTTATGGTATCATGTTAGCCCTCAAGCTTTCGGTTTTGGAGCATTTTGAGTTTGGGAGTTTTGGATTAAGGATGTTCAGCCTGTATATTAAATATTAGAGATGTTCAACCTGTAACTTTTTAGAGAAGGAAACTGAGGTGCAGGCCTTTCCTGGGATCCACAGCTCAGAAAAGGTGAGGTGGGTCTGAATTAAGAGCTTTCTTTCTTTCTTTTTTTTTTTTCTTTTTTTTTTTTTTTTTTTTGATACAGAGTCTTGCTCTGTCACCAGGCTGGAGTGCAGTGGCCTGATCTCAGCTCACTGCAGTCTCCTCCTCCTGGGTTCAAGCAATCCTCCTGCCTCAGCCTCCCGAGTAGCTGGGACTACAGACACACACCACCACACCCAGCTAATTTTTTTATTTTTAGTAGAGACGGGGTTTCACCATGTTGGCCAGGCTGGTCTCGATCTCTTGACCTCGTGATCCACCTGCCTTGGCCTCCCAAAGTGCTGGGATTGCAGGCGTGAGCCACCACGCCCAGCCAAGAGCTTTCTTTAACCACATTGGCATGCTGCCTTTGGGGGTAAATAATGTTGCTGTTTCAAGGTGAGACTCAACACTGATTTGTGCTTAATATTAGGACAGGAGACAATCTGTAAATAGATATGATTCTGTTTGGATTTGATTCCAAACCTAATGGTGTATGTAATTACATGATTACTACTATTAATACAGGACACTGTTTGCTGAGATGCCAAAGTCTGTACAGTATTTCATGCAGGAAACTAGACTGGCCACCACAGCTTAACACACTAATGCTGGTAAATTAGTGAAGCTCTCACTTAAGTAAATGGGCCATTTGCCTTTGAAGCTGCTATGTAAATAGAAATACAGTAATCTGTCATACCAATCCACGTCTTTTGTCCTTAGTTTGAGCCCTGGCTGTAGTTCTTTACCAAGCTATCCAGACATTTCAAGTAAAACTGTGCACAGAAATACCAATAAAGAGGAGAAATGCTGAATTTCTGATTGAAATTTTGGTTGAGTGAATCCAATGTCTCCATCCAGGGCCTGTTAGACTCTTACTGATGGTCAAGGATAAGCCTCTAAGTGCGTTAGCAGGATATAACCCGTTCCTTCCTTTCCATACAGATTTTGTGTCTGATTGGTCTCCTGTGCATGAAGCTGCAATTCACGGACGTCAGCTGACTCTGAGGAAACTCATCAGCCAGGTAGCTTTTTGAAAATACGATACAGAGGAAACCTATCAAAATATTAAAACAAGTGTGTGACATAATAACATAGGGACTTTTAAATTAATTCATTAAATAGAAGATCTAGTGGTGATTCTAGTTAATTACCACAATTTCTAAATAGGATGAATATATATTTTGAGATGTTTTAGATGTCTACAACAATTGTAATACAATAGAAAATATCTGTAATTTCTATTGGAGATAACCCTACATAATACTATTACTACTGTGGTTTGTTGCCTACATTCTGAACTAAAGGACATGCTAAATTTTAGATAGAGCTTAGTGAGAATAAATGTGCTTTTAAAAAAATCCAAGTTCATAGACCTATCCATGGTAAGAAATCCTCCTACAAGAAACTAGTTTCTAAAGAAAAATTTCATACTATCCTAAGCCACTATCAAGCCATTTTTGGTAGCAGCAGTCTGTTATAAATAGATTTTAACACTAATTCTAGCTAAAAGAAGTTAGGCTACTTCTCAGATAAAATTAGAAATGTACCCTATTTAGATAGCACAAAAAATGATCACTGCAGCTTTTATATATCACTTGTTAAATTGGACAGATACTCATTTACATTCAGTATTTATATGTTGATGAAACATTAGCCAGAACCATATCTTCCAAGTTCTATCACATTATTTGTGTAAGGTGTATTTTTTGAATCCCAGTTTCTGCCTTCATAAAATGAGTATTCTAATACCTACCTAAGTCCACCCAGAACTCAATAGCAAACCACCCCGAAACTCAGTGACATCATAAGGTAACCATTATTTCTTGCTGATGAGTGTTTGTGTCAGCTAACCTAGGCTGGGGTTGGCTGGGCTTGGCTCCCAGATGTGGGTTGGGTGTGGCCCTGCTGCACACCTCTCTCATCCTTCTTGGACCACTGGCCACCTGAGGAATTCCTTTCTCTTGGCAAAAGGCTGGAGCACAGCAGAGCAAGCCCAACCATGCAAGAATACTTCCAATCTGTTCATGTCACATCTGCCAGCATCCCATTGGTCAAGTCACATGACCACATCCAAAGTCAAGGATCAAGGGAAGTACATTTTGTCAACTAAGAGTAGTTGACAACTGATAATAGAAATATTAAATTTAAGCCATTCAGTCTTTTTTTTTTTTTTTAAACTAAGAACTGACTGTGGACTAGACACTGTGAAGTACTGGGTTAATTATCTTATGATATTATATGACTCTGACTCAGACTTGTTAATAATTTAGACAAATCACAGTTCATTTAAGGTAGAACTGTAACTTGATGAACTATAAATGAATTCATGACTTTTCAGGAACCTCTGTAATATGAATATGTGGTAAAAACTTTTTGTTTTGTATTACAAGTAACTGTGTTTTTGCATTTAATTTACCTGGGTTTATGTATAAACACCTAAATGTTGGTTTTACTATTATTATTATTATTTTGAGATGGTGTTTTGCTCGTTGCCCAGTCTGGAGCGCAGTGGTGTGATCTTGGCTCACTGCAACCTCTGCCTCCCGGGTTCAAGCAATTCTCCTGCCTCAGTCTCCCGAGTAGCTATGACTATAGTTACAGGCCACCATGCCCAGCTAATGTTGTGTTTTTAGTAGAGACAAGGTTTCACCATGTTGGTCAGGCTGGTCTCAAACTGCTGACCTCGGGTGATCCACCAGTCTTTGCCTCCCAAGGTGCTGGGATTATAGGCATGAGCCACCGCACCTGGTCTAAATGCTGGTTCTAAAATGGCAGTCGTGCCTGGAGGAGAATGCACATTTTCCTATTGGTTATTTTTATGGTTGCCTTTTGCCAAAGTTTTGTACCTTGGCCTGTCTTCCCCTCAGTTGTGTCTGATACACAAGCATGATTTTTGCTTCATGTGCCAATCATATCTCTCTTGTGGCATTGATGAAGCTACTTTCTATAAGTGTGATGACTGTCAAAAAATAAGGTATTTTCTCCTGCCAATTGGACATTTAAGTCTTAGGTCTGAATAGTAAAGTAAGAAATGACATATTCTTTCCTTTGATCAAAACAAGAGTTGGCAAATTTTTTTCTGTAAAGGACCAGATAGTAAATATTTTAGACTTTGTGAACCATGCAGTCTCTGTTGGAACTACCTAACTCTGCTGCTGTAGCAGAAAAGCAGTTGTAGACGATATGTAAATGAATGGGCATGGCTGTGTTCTGATAAAACTTTGCTTATGGATGCTGAAATTTGAATTTCATAAAATTTTCATGTGTCACAAAATATTCCTTTGATTTCTTTTAAACCATTAAAAATGTAAAAACCATTCTTAGCTGCTGTGCTATACAGAAACAGGTTGCAGGCTAGATTTGACTCTTGGGCTGTCATTTGCTGACCTCCTTGTCAAAACTGTAACAGAGCTAGGAATTCTAAGAAAAAAACTAAATGTCAGGCAAAGGAGAAAAAATTGGGCAAAACTATTTTTATTATAAACATTATTAAATCCTGTTTGATACTAAATACTGATGTTTAAAGAGCAATTATATTAGTTAATAGGTACATTGTAATTTCCTAAAGTACATTTAGGCTTCATAAAAGGTACATGCAGTATATTTCTTTTCCCTTGCAGTTTTAAAATTTCCTTTTCAGTGTCCCACAAGATAGAGTCACGACTGAATATGTTAAAATTTGATAATTGCTTGTTAAAACTTAGCAATTTGAGCCATGCTGACTTTTAAAAAATTGAGAAATATCATAAACAAACATAAAAGAACTTAAACACATGTGTGCAGTTGAACAAAAAGTGGTGATGATGAGAATATTGCCATGTGACTGCCCCCCCAGGTCAGGAAATGGAAAAATAGCACATTGCTGGCACTTCTGAAGAGCCACCCATTCCCCCCCTTGTTGTGCTTTCTAGAACACAATCCTGTCCCTCTTTCACAGGAGTAACCATTATCCTGATTTCCTTGTCTTCATTATGGTTTTGCTTTACATATTATGTCTTCTGAAACAATATGGGTTAATTTTGCCTAGTTTGAACTTTAAGTTGATGTAATCATTCAGTATGTATGATTCGGGATTTTGCTGCTTTTGCTCAACATCATTTTTGCAAGCATCACCCTTTAGTGCTTGACATTATAATTTGTTTAATGTAATCTTTCCGCTGAAAGTTTATGCCAGAGTTTATTAAATCAGTCCCTTGTTGATGGGCATTTGGTTTGTTTGCAGTTTTTGACTATTACTACCAAAGTGGTTGTGAATATTCTTGTATATTTATCTAGATGTATATATTCCTAAGAGTCAAAGTGCTGAGTCATAGGCATATGCATTGTCAACTCTGACATATACTGTCAAACTGTTTTCCTGAGTGGCCATACCATATTACAGTCCCACTGGTAGTGTGGCAGTTGTTTTTTTTTTAAAGTCAATATAAACACCTTAGTGTACCATCTGACTTTGAGCCAGGTCAGCTTTGTCATCCTACTGGAATGGTGGCTGAAAAACAGCCCCAGAGCACTGTTTCTTTGCACCCCTTACTCTGACTATTTTTCCTCCTTCAGGGGTGGCTTGTGAATATTGTCACAGCAGATCATGTTTCTCCACTCCATGAAGCCTGTCTCGGAGGTCATCCCTCTTGTGCAAACATTTTATTACAGCATGGAGCACAGGTAAGGGCAAGTGAAATAACATCTTAGAAACCAAAAATGAAAAATGACTATATCCCTTCTGAGTAACTACTTCTAGCACTTTTGATTAGACTGATTTGAAATATGAAGACAGTTGTTTTTCAAGAAAATTATGTTCATCAGGCTTGTTTGTTTGCTTTAGTGATAGATGGATGAAATACTAAATTTTTAGCTAGAAAGTCATGCTTACAGTCTGCATCATTTTCTTTATCAGACGCTACTAATAAATAGTTGTTAGACTTCTGTCTTCATTGTTATGGTCAGAAGGGAAGAAAATATTGTGGAAAGCACACATTTGCCTGGGATGACTAGGATGTCTGAGAAGACAGAAAATCTCTATGTAGTCATTCATCCTGTGGCTGGCAACCTGGACTTCACATGATAGCAGGGATTGCAACAGCAGCAAAAGAGGACCTGTTGGGTGTTAGGCAACTGAATGGTGGGTTGGGGAAATTATGGGCTTACTATCTTCTGGCAATAGCCAATGCAAAGTCCCAGAAATGATAGTGAGCAATTTTTGTATCTTGAAGTCATTCCTTACGGCAGGAGAGTAGAGTAGGTGAGAGTGTTCAGAATATAAGCAACCTTGTCCATGCCAAAACAAGAATGGGCTTTGTCCTGAGATCAGTAAAGAGCCAGAGCTGAGTGCATTGCCAGATTTATATTTGGGTTAAGAAAACATTCAAAACTTAGAAACAAGGAAAGTGCCAAGGTGAAGCAAGAGACAGGTAGGGTGCAAACTTGAAAGAGGTGCTCATTCTCAGGGTCCTTTATGTGACTCCAGAAATGAACATGTCCTTAATTTTTTTACCCTGGGCATCTTTTGTGGCTCACTCTAGTCCTGGCCCTGCTTTGAAGTAGTAGAGTGTGAGAATGAATTCATTGTCTTCACAATATCATTGATTAAAAGATTCACCAAATAATCATTTAATGATGTACAAGAATGCATCTGCATTTGGCTTTTCTATTCACTATTTAATTATAGCCCAAATGCTGTGAAGTTAGACATTAACTTCCATCTGATTTCCAACATTAGAAATGATAGCCTCAAAGATTATAGTTTTATGGCCCTATAGGACGTTAACCAGTTTATTTTATTTTATTTATTTTATTTTATTTTTTTTTTATTTTTGAGATGTAGTCTCTCTCTTTTGCCCAGGCTGGAGTATAGTAGCACGATGTCAGCTCCCTGAAACCTCTGCTTCCTGAGTTCAAGGAGTTCTCCTGCCTCAGCCTCCCGAGTAGCTGGGATTACAGGCGTGTGCCAACACACTTGGCTCATTTTTATATTTTTAGTAGAGCTGGGGTTTCCCCATGTTACCCAGGCTCGTCTTGAACTTCTGACTTCAGGTGATCCGCCCACCTTGGCCTCCCAAAGTGCTGGGATTACAAGTGTAAGCTACCATGCCCAGCTGAGTTTTGTATCTATTAGCAAATATATTTCAGCCATCCATTGACTATATAAATTTTTATTTGAGCCAGCCTTACCATCTTACTGGTTCCCTCATTAATGAATGAGTTGAATAAAATCTTTGCTATGTATGTGTTAATTCTATATTTGTATGACAGTCAAGTTTTTTAAAGCTTTCTAAATTATACTTTAAGAATTACAGTTAACAATTTTAACAATTTCCTCACAGCAGCAAGAGTAATCTTTTTGCCCCCCTTAAGAAATTGAATTGGTGTGGGATGGGTCTAGGAAAGAAGTTTAAAGTAGGGATTAGTTTATAAACTAGTTTCAAAGTTCATGTTCCTAGGGAGGACGTGGAGGAGATTGAACATTGAGTAACGTTTTTTTTTTTTTTTGAGATGGAGTTTTGCTCTTGTTGCTCAGGCTGGAGTGCAATGGCAAGATCTGGGCTCACCGCAGTCTCCACTTCCCGGGTTCAAGTGATTCTCCTGCCTTAGCCTCCCAAGCTGCTGGGATTACAGGCGCCCCCCTACTGTGCCTGGCTAATTTTTTGTATTTTTAGTAGAGACGGGGTTTCTCCATATTGGTCAGGCTGGTCTCAAACTCCCGACCTCAGGTGATTTGCCCACCTCGGCCTCCCAAAGTGTTGGGATCACAGGCGTGAGCGACTGCCTCTGGCCTGAGTAACATTTTTGATGCTTTATATAGTCACTCCCTAAATCCATTTTTCACAAAAACCTTGTGGAATTTGGTACTTTCTTTCTCCCTTTTATAGCTGAGAAATTTAAGGCTCAGAGAAGTTAAATATCTTCAGAGTGGTAGACCATGTATTTCATCCCAAAACATCCCCCTTCCTGTCTTCATCCTGGAGCTTCTTTTTCCAGGTGAATGGCGTGACAACAGACTGGCACACTCCACTCTTTAATGCTTGTGTCAGTGGCAGCTGGGATTGTGTGAATTTGCTCCTGCAGCATGGAGCCAACCTTCAACCTGCGAGTGATCTGGCATCCCCCATCCATGAAGCAGCTAAGAGAGGTAAATCTGTTGAGAATTTTCTTTTCCACTCACTCCTTCAAAGGACATCTTACTGCAGAAAGAAAGAAAGAAGAGGAGGAGGTATATTTTAGAGCAATAGTTCTCAAAGTGGGGTCCTGGGACTGGAAGCATCAGCATGACCTGGCCTGCAAATGCAGATTCTTGAGCCCCATTCCAGCCCCACTGAATCAGTAACTGTGGGGATGGGGCTCAGCCATCTGGATTTTGTTTAATAAGCCCTCCAGCTGCTTCTGGTGCACAGTAACCTTGAGCACCTCCCTTTTAAAGCATTGCGAATGTTTTTCACTGCTATATTACTGGAACAGGGCTTGGAGTAGAGTAGACTATCCATCAATATTTGTGGAATACATTCTCATACCCGTGACCTTATAGAAATCAGGTTATTTCATAAAACAAATTATATTCTTCTATTTTAGGGCCTTAAAGAATATTGTCTCAGTGACACTAAAGTTTGCCAAATGAAATAAACTTTCAAGTTTTGAAATTATGTTTTGTCATTAAAGCCATAATTTTTCTGATATTCTTAGCTCATAAAATCATCAAAAGTTTTTATTTTCTCCAATATTTATCATCATCATGATAACCATACCTTGCCAGAGGGCTTGCTATTTCTCCAGTGACTTTCACAGAATGGCTTTGCATTTGACTGGATCAACTCACTTATAATGATCTCCCAAAGCATTGATATTCATTTACTGAGAACATACTAACTCATTGTATTTGCTGCAATACCTAGAACTAAAATGTAGCAAGAGAAACGTGGAGAAGCAATGTCGAAAATACGACATTCTGGACCAAGGAAGTGTGATTCAGCTTTCGCCTAGTTTGCCAGACTGGGCTCTGCTCATGTGGGATTTGGCAGCTTCTTCTAAGCCTTCCCTTTACCTGCTGTGGCCTGTTTCTCCCGGGCCTGCCTTTGGAGAGGTTGCAAGTTTCCTTCCCTGTCTTGTGGCCCACACCGTACACTTTAATCTTCAGGTCCACCTTCAGGTCCTGTTTCTCTGTATCTCTTCCCAACTCTCACTTCAGTTTCTGTACTTAGACTAACTGCAGAGCCACAAACATTGAAAAATGTGGTTGGCTGCCGGTGGGTTACCATGGCTAGTTAACTCAAATGGAGTTAGTTTCACCCGTAGTTGCAGATTACATCCTATGGTCAAAGCATTAACTAACATCAGTGTTTAAAATCACTCCTGATTCTAAGTAAAGGAAACAGCTTTTGGTCCCCTGGATAAGCTGCTGCTAAATTTAATGCAAAATGGGGTTGCCATTGTTTTGCTAGGTAAGGGAACTTGTACTGTAACTGTTTTTCTCCTGCTTTGGGCTGCAGGCCACGCGGAGTGTGTCGACGCTCTTATAGCTCATGGGGTCAACATTGACCATAACATCAGCCACCTGGGCACTCCACTCTATTTGGCTTGTGAAAACCAGCAGATAGCCTGTGTCAAGAAGCTTCTGGAGTCAGGTAAAGCAAAAAGCAAACCAAAATGAGAAAAGAAAATGAAAAGTAAGTTAAATGTATTTTAAACATCTTACTGTGGTAGGAGAGAAATGAGTGTGGGCAATGGAGTTGGACAAGGTCAGGCTAATACTGAGGTTCCATTCATAATGATGTGCAGTTGATACTGACTGTGTTCCCTTGGGGAATCATTTCACACTGTTTGAACTTTAGTTCTCTCTCTTGTCATGAGGATGATGATGAGGATGATGATGCCGATGCCTCTTCTCAGGTGGTTCTCAATGATAATTAGTTTCTTTTCCCTTTCCTCTGTTTCCCTCCATTTGGCCAGTCACATTATTAAGCCCTGCGTAACTTGCAAAGTTGTTGGATTAGTGTTGAATATTCCTATTTGGGACCTTCACCAGTTGTCTTTGATTTAGATATTGAACATGCCCCACTTTTAGCCCATTGCAAATACTATGTTTTCCTAGAAAAGGCCTATGTTCCCTTATTTCTTTTTTTTTTTTGAGATGGAATTTCGCTCTTGTTACCCAGGCTGGAGTGCAATGGCGCGATCTCGGCTCACCGCAACCTCCGCCTCCTGGGTTCAGGCAATTCTCCTGCCTCAGCCTCCTGAGTAGCTGGGATTACAGGCACGTGCCACCATGCCCAGCTAATTTTTTGTATTTTTAGTAGAGACGGGGTTTCACCATGTTGACCAGGATGGTCTCGATCTCTTGACCTCGTGATCCACCCGCCTCGGCCTCCCAAAGTGCTGGGATTACAGGCTTGAGCCACTGCGCCCGGCTTGTTCCCTTATTTCTTTTCACCTCCCTGCTGTTGTCCAGCCCACTTCTCAACACCGTTTTATCACCTCTTTAATTATCTGAGTCCTATTTACTCTTTAAGACTCCAGTAAAGCCTTTCCCAATGAATGTTGTTATAGTCCTTATTGCCTCCTATTCATTTGGCAGGCATTGCTATGAATTAAGAGATGTATTCTCTCTCCCACCTGCCACCACCCCCTCCACCATTCTGGGTAGATTTTAAGCCTGTAGACTGGAAAGGGCCATGTTTGACATCCCTCACAAAGTTAAGAACAATACAAGACCAGATCAGTTAACATTTGTTGAGTGCACATAGATTTTCATTTTACCAGACAGATGGCAGCTCAGGCAAAGCCACATGTTCCCACATGTCACAGTGAGAGCCAGCATCTGGGCTGGGGTGGGGATTTGTTAAGAGTGTAGGAGTGCAATTGGGTGGGGACAGTCCTAGAAATGTATCTTACTCCTGAAGGGGAGAACTTTGCCACCTTCCCCGTGATCTTGGGATTGGTCAGTCCAATCCAGGGGATATCCCCATGAGTTGGTTACTTTACAAAGTCCAAATTACCCAAGCGCCAGGTTTTACACCCTGTGGCAGCTGTACTCACCAGGTGAGTTTGGCTGCTTGTTGTATGCTGGATTTCACCATCTAGCCTCACACCCAGGCTCTACTGGCTAATACTTAGGTTCCGTTAATAATGATATGCAGCTTTTCTGTCACTGGGGTTTTTCTTATATGCATCATGCCTATATACAGTGCCGAAAGGCAAAATTTTAACTTTATATGCTATATAGCTCATGCTGTACATTCAATAACATTATTAGATGGGATTTTCCCCACATTATGAAATGGAATCAAAGCATCTCCCATTTTCCCAGAATTGCTGTGCTCAATATGGATCCCCTCTTCTTAGGGAATTTTGGGGCTCATTGCTTTAAAAGGAGGATGGTTGGATTCTGCTCCTTGCTGACCCTTTTTTTGTTCTTGTGACTATTTAGGTGCAGATGTGAACCAAGGCAAAGGTCATGATTCTCCACTTCATGCAGTGGCCAAGACGGTCAGTGAAGAGCTGGTTTGCCTACTCATGGATTTTGGAGCAGACACCCAGGCCAAGAATGCTGAAGGCAAACGTCCTGTGGAGCTGGTGCCTCCAGAGAGCCCTTTGGCCCAGGTCTTCTTGGAGAGAGAAGGTGCTTCTTTGCCAAAATCTAAGCCTAATATGTAGACACCCCTTCAGGCTTTAGTAGGAGGCAGGTATTTAGCAATTTCTGACTTTCAGTCCTGTAAAAAGATCATTCTCTGCCATCACCAAATCTGTGGAAGTTGAGATGATTCAGTATTCAATGAGGTACAGTACTGGTTACAGTACAGTAAATAACCATCCTCCTGTTTAGCATATTGGATACAGGTGTTGGGATGATATAATATCCATATATGGGGTAGGCCAGGTTTTTAAAATTTAAGGTATTATTTTAAAATTTTAGTATTACATGTATTTAAAAAATGCTTTAGAATGAGGCAGCAGAGGCCTCTCGGGGGCATGGGGCCCCAGGATATCTTACTGTACCACAGATGGGCCAGACTACTGGACGCTTGGTTTCTAGGCTTAAAATGCAGCTCTTTGAGAATTTAGGGTTCACACCAATCCAAAGACGTTTACTATGATAAGTTAACCAACAATAAGTCCACACCTCTATAAGTAAGGAATGACACTCCCAACCCAAACAATGAAATACTGTGGTTGAGCGGTGTGTCTGGGAGTAGGGCTTTGAGACCTGGGTAGGGTTGGTGAACAAAGACAACTCAAGGTGGGGAGTCACACTGTTGTAATCTTCATGGTCTTAGAGGCAGGTGAGCAACCAGCTCAGTACTTCCTTTCTTACCAGAGTATGGACTGTAAAGTCTTAGGGATTCTGGGACTTTGAAGCAGGCCTTCCTACCAGAAGGATTCTGATATCATACAATCTAGTTCTTTTCTCCCCACATGATAAGAAGTAGGGTTGGCTTTGGGCAGATCTGTAAAGTGTGCCAAGGAGTCCTCTTTCCTTCACCTCTCACTGCCCCAGGGTACTTGCAGTCAAGTCCCTGCCTTGGAGTATGGGACTATGCTCCTGCAGGCATATGCAGGCCGATGCTCCTGAGCAGTGCTGGTCAGGCAGAAAAGACTGACTCCAGGCATAAGGAATAGTCCACTAGAGGCTCCTTTCAGTTAAGCAGTGGGATAATCACTGAGCAGTTCTATCTGCATTTTAATAATTACTTGTTTTAACAAAGTTTTATGTCTACAAGGCCCATAAATATATCTTTTCTTTTTTTTTTTTTTTTTTTTTTTGAGACAGTCTCAATGCGTTGCCAGGCTGGAGTGCAATGGCATGATCTCAGCTCACTGTAACCTTTGCATCCCAGATTCAAGTGATTCTCCTGCCTCAGCTTCTGGAGTAGCTGGGACTTCAGGCGCATGCCACCACACCCAGCTAATTTTTGTACTTTCAGTAGAGACAGGGTTTCACCATGTTGGCCAGGCTGGTCTTGAACTCCTGACCTCATGATCCACCCACCTCGGCCTCCTGAAGTGCTGGGATTATAGGTGTGAGCCACTGTGCCCGGCCAATATATCTTAATTTTTAAAAAATTAGGACAAAAAATGAATAGAACAACATGGATTGGAATCACCTTTATACCAACATAGTTGTGAAATAGAATTTTTCATTGTTTTAATTGAGAAAGGGATTTACAGAGGCAGAAGTCCCTCAGGTACCCCTCAGTCATAATGTAGGATATATATTCATGTAGGATGTAGATGTCCCCTCCTCCGTCAAGTAACCCCATAGGATTCTCAAATGTCCTTCCCTGGTTTTTCCCTTCTGCTTTGTTTCCCAGAGACAGTAATTAATTTTTAATGCATGTTTTGCACGGTGACAGTGGGGCCAATGATTCTACTAGTTTATGAGGTGTCATTTGCTGCTGGAGAGAATCACCAGTTGTTTTGCCTCCATGAGTCACTCTTGGGGATTTGGTACAGTCACCTCTCAGAGGGTTTGGACCCACAGGAAATGGGGCCAGGCAAGTACAGAAAACTAGACCTGTGGATTGCTCACAGCAGTTTCTGTCTCTGGGTGCCCCTGCAAATTCATTTGCTTCAGTCTACCTGTTTCTCTGTTTCCTGGGGAAGGGAATTCATTCAGTTACTGTCCTCTTTCAATGGTACAGCAACAGGAGAATGTTGGTAAAACCCAACCATGTTCTGAATTGGGCTTTGCATGGGTGTTAGGAAGGCTGAGATTTTCTCTTTTTCTGAGGAAAAGGGAAAATATTTCAAGAATATTACCACCTCACCCTTAATAAGCATCTAAAGCAGTGTTCGCTCATGGCACACAATTAAAACCTAGAAATGACTGTCAGCCTAGCATGACCACAGCCCCTAGCCGCTCACCCAGTGCACTTTGGCTTTAAAGCATCAAGGATTGTTGTTGGGTGGGGGGGATAAAGAAATCAAGGCCCAAAGGAATATGCCAATTCATAAATAGACAATTAGCTGGTGTTATTATTAAGTAAAGCAAACCCCTTGAATGTTTGCAGGTGTCAGCAAGTGACTGCAAAGCTGTATTCAGCTCTGTTTCTATGGACTTGAAGCTATAGTTGTTTGACATTGTCCTACTTGTAGTCAGCAGTCAGCAGCATTCAGTTGGCATCAGTAGTTATTAATACACTGTACTTATTGTGACACTCCGCTTTTCTTAATTCTCTGTCAGGCCTGCTCTGAGATCTTGTTATTTGTAACGCTTTATCAGTACCTACTATGGTTGCCCCTGACAGTGTATCTAGCACAGATGATCAGTCACATCTTTCATCGTTCTTTAGTGAGGTTAGATTAGGTTCAGTTTCCCTACCGTGTGCTTTTTGCTGCTCATTAATATATGCCTTGAGAATACTGGGAAGCTGTTTATTAATATACGCTTTGAGTATGTTGGGCATAATCTGGTCGGTGCCTTACTCCAACAGGACCCTTCTGTTAGGGCCTGGTGTAAAATAGTTCAAGTATTTTTTTGATTGTTTATGTGTCAAGTTCCATCAATCCTTGTTCTTCATCACCTTGAGAGATAAGTTTCTCAGTTGATCCTGTAGTTGGTGGTGATGCTATAGGAATATAGAATATGGAGGCCACAGTGTCCTTTGGCTGTATTCTCAGCCCTGACTGCACACTCAAATGACTGGGGCACATGCCTATAGAAAATCCAGATGCTCGGGCTTTACCCAACAATAATTGAAGCAACGTCTGTAGTTGGGGGGACTCAGCATCCATTTAGTTGAATGTGCCCCCACCCCAGGTGAGTCTGAAATCCAGCATGGATTGAGGGCTATTTGTTTATGGAGTTCTTGAGGGTATACAGTTTTGTTTTTTAAAAAATAACCAAAAGAAGATTCCCATTAAAATTTGATGCAGGAAGTAGGGGGGAGCATGGAAAATCATTCGCTATTCTTTTGCCCTATAACAGGGTTTCTCAACCTTGACACTGTTGACACTTGGGACCAGTTGGGGGCTGTCCTGTGTACTTCGGGATGTTGAGGAACATCCCTTGCCTCTTGCATTAGATGCCAGTTGCACCCTTCCTCAAGTTTTGGCAACCAAAAATGTCTCCACACACTGCCAAATGTCCCCTGAGGGGCAAAATGATGTCCTCCTCCTTTCCTTCCCTGTGCCTTCTCCCAGATGCGAACCACTGTCCTAAAATGTAAACTGTTGGGTGTTCCCTAAGCAAGGTTTGTGCTAAGTAGTTCACTTTTCACCCCTGAGTTGAAGCATTGGAATAGCTCTGAATACGGAATATAAAAACAAACATGACTTCACATAACATACTCTTGGGATTCACCTCTGAGCTCATTACATTTGAATACCTTAAATGGCTCAAGTTATAAAATAAAAATGTTTGCATGTAGAAATATGCCCTTATTTTTAAAGGTAAGAGTTAAGAACACCATTAAACATAAATTTTATTTTGATTATTGGATTTTTTGTGTAGCTGTGTAATTCCCAAGTTAGCTTAGTTAAGCCTCCATTAGTGAGACTAAGCTTTAAATTTCTTTCAGTCTGCTCTAAATTAAAATCTCACAAGCTTATTTCAATTAGCTACCAGAAAAGAGAGAACATAGCCTAAAAATGCCTTCTACAAAAAAAAAGAAAACCCAGAAAATGGTCTTCAGTAGTTCAATATTATTTCCTTATAACAATGTTATATCTTGTATGCTTTTTTTTTTTTCAAAGGAGAAGTCTTAGATCAATAACACCACTGTGTGACTTGTCTTATGATCTTTCTCCAGGGCCCCCATCTTTGATGCAGTTATGCCGCCTTAGAATTCGGAAGTGCTTTGGAATCCGGCAGCATCATAAGATAAGCAACCTCATCCTCCCAGAGGATCTGAAACGGTTTCTCCTACATCTTTAAATGCATCAAGGGAACGGATTCACAAACAACATGAAAACATTATTGAGTGTCGTAGCCATTAGAATTTTAAAAATCTAGTTGGGTTTATAGAGTTTGATTGATGTTTTCCATTAGATTTGTTATAGAAACGCACTGCATACATTTGTATTAGTTAGAAGGTGTGAAGACATTTTTCCCACTTGGAAGAGAATGTTTAAAATAACAGTTGTTGTTTTAAATATTTACTCCATGCCAAGCACTTTCTGCATCATCTAATTCAGCCCTCACAGCAACTGGTCAGTATGTCCAGTTTCCCAGAGCAAGGATAGAGGAGTCAGATTCAAATACAGGTTTTCTGACATTAGCTTAAGTGATTATTTGATCAAGGCAGGATTTTCCAGCATCACTATCCTTGTTCCGTCTCTGCTATATGGGAAGCAAAATGAAGAAATATATTTCTTGGTTTATATCTAATTGGTTTTAACCTTCCCTGTTCTTGAGACAAAACCATTACTGTCCTAGCATAGTATGGGGGTGAATTCTTTTTTTCAACCAAAACACTATATACGTATTAAGCATATTCTAGAACCTTGCTGCTTATGACAGTTATTCTTTTGAATATTTACTCCATGCCAAGCACTTTCTGCATCATCTAATTCAGCCCTCACAGCAACTGGATCAGTATGTCCAGTTTCCCAGAGCAAGGATAGAGGAGTCAGATTCAAATACAGGTTTTCTAACACTAGCTTAAGTGATTATTTGATCAAGGCAGGATTTTCCAGCATCACTATCCTTGTTCCATCTCTGCTGTATGACAATAAAAATAAAGAAATATGTTTCTTGGTTTATGTCTAATTGGTTTTAACCTTCCTTGTTCTTACGGCAAAACCACTACCATCCTAACATAGTATAGTAGTCAGTTCTTTTTTTCAACCAAAACACTATATTAAGCATATTCTAGAACCTACTGCTTAATGCAGTAGCCACTTGTCCAGTGGTTCTCCATGGGGGAATTTTGTCACCCAGGGATGTTCAACAATACCTGGAGACATTTTGGTTGTCATAACTGAGGAGAGGGGGATACTAAAGGCATTTAGTGGGTAGAGGCCAGGAATGCTGCTAAGCTTCTTAAAATGTACAGGACAGACCCACAACAAAGAAATTTCCAGTCCAGAATGTTAATACTGTAGTGTCCAGGTTGAAAAACCCTGTTGTAGCCATGTGGCTATTTACAGGAAGTAAATTAAGGTCAGGTGCGGTGGCTCACACCTGTAATCCCAGCACTTTGGGAGTTTGAAGCGGGCAGATCACTTGAGGTTGGGAGTTCGAGATCAGCCTGACCAACATGGAGAAACCCCATCTCTACTAAAAATAAAAAATTAGCTGGGCATGGTGGCACATGCCTGTAATCCCAGGTACTTGGGAGGCTGAGGCAGGAGAATCACTTGGACCCGGGAGGTGGAGGTTGCGGTGAGCCGAGATTGTGCCATTGCACTCCAGTCTGGGCAACAGGAGTGAAATTCTGTCTCAAAAAAAAAGTAAATTAATTAAAGCGGTAAAATTAAAAATCCAGTTTCTCAGTGTCATTAGCCACATTTCAGGTGTAAAATATGTACAATGGCTAGTGGCTACTGTATTGAACATTGCAGATATAGATTATTGCAGAAGAAAATTCTGTTGCTCCATCACTGAACAGATTTTGATTGGACAGTGCTCTGTGGAGTCTCGATGAATGGATTTTTATCTGCCTTTCAGTTTCAGTTACAGGAACACTGTGATACAATTTAGTAATAATGGCTGTAGTTTCAGTTCTCTCTCAGAGATGAATTTGGGGCTCCATTGCATCAATCAAAATAAGAAAATATTGAAACTTATTAAGTCAAATCCTTACCTGTAAGATTACATCTGGTCGAGATGATCTCTAAATATATTTCCAATATAAATTTTCTGTAATTTTTAATTTGCTATGTGAAAGACTCCAGAATATTTGTCTAAAATGCACAGGTGGTTCGCCACCAGATGGCACTGTTGTCACATAGTCACTTAAGCAAAAGGGTTGCTCCTCATAAATGACCCATCATAAAACGGTTTACAACGTAGGCTCTGGAAATTTCCATTCAAGAATGAAAACTGTAGTGATAGATTCCACTGACACCGGGTTTCCTTCTCTTCCTATTTACCCAATAATTTAAATGTGACTTTACAGAACTTTACCTCCTACTTTTTTATGGAACTTTACCTCCTTTTTAAAAATTCTTCATCTGATCATATTTACATGTACTGATCAGAATTTATGCAGTTAATTAACATCAACATCCTGCCATTAGCTAATTCATTTTGTTCATTTACTTAGAAAATATATGATGAATTCCCATGCCTGTACCAGGCACTATTCTAGGCACCAGAGTGGTAAGGAACGAGATAGGTAAAGATACTTGATTTCCTGGATGTTACAGTCTGGTCAGAGAGTCATTTGCTAAGGGCTGAGGAGCTGTAGACATTTTGCTGTGGTTTTCTTTTTGAAAACACCAGTTTAAAAAATTACATGGTTTCTCATGTAAAATGTTTCAGACCCTTGCTTATGTTAATCTTCCCTCAGTCAAATCCACTAAGTTTAACCCAGAACTAGTAATAATTACTAGAACAGCATTTTTTTCTTCTTAAATATTCCAGGCAATTAATCAATTTGCAAGTCCATGTAATAGATGGTCATCCAGCCGGGCATGGTGGCTCACGCCTGTAATCCTAGCACTTTGGGAGGCCAAGGCAGGCGGATTGCCTGAGCTCAGGATTTCAAGACCAGCCTGGGCAACACGGCGAAACCCCGTATCTAATAAAATACAAAAAAAAAAATTAGCCAGACGTGGTGGTGTGCACCTGAACTCCCAGGTACTTGGGAGGCTGAGGCAGGAGAATTGTTTGAACCCAGGAGGTGGAGGTTGCAGTGAGCCGAGATTGCGCCACTGTACTCCAGCCTGGGCGACAGAGTGAGACTCTACCTCTTAAAAAAAAATAGATGGTCATCCGTACAGATGGGGAAACATAACATTACCATTTCCCTCATGGCAATTTAGGAAAAATATCAAATGACCCCACTTAGCCATGCTCAAAAATAATATTTAAGAATCCGTTTTATGAGTCTAGATGTCATATTTATAAGTGGCATATACATTTGAATGCTTTATCATTGCAACCTGGCACAACCTCATAAATTCTATCATCAAAACTGGTTAAGTGGCATAGAATAGACCTTACCATTATGAATGATGGACATAAACTCATGAACCCATCTTTTAAAAATGATCATTTTGTCTGTTTTTAGATTGCAAACAACACATAATAAATTTACCACATTTTCCTTGGTTTTATTCAGTACACATGCTGGCTACTTGATGCACATCGATAGCACAATTCATGTTACAATGAAAGAGGAAGCAAGAGGAAGGGACCAGGAAAGGATGGCTTTTTTCTTCAGGGTTTGTAATGGGGCTAATTGACGTGGGCTGATACTCCACGTACCAGGTTGCTGTGGTCAGTCATTAAGTAGACATTAGGGGCTCAGAAATGACGATCTAAGATGTGCTCAGCTATCTATTCTGGAACATGGGGCTCAGTCTTCATAATACGATGAAAGCCCAGCATTAGTGCTTCAGTCTAAGACGAGGCCAGCATCAAAACCAACTAAATAATAGCTCCCATTCTAGAGGGCTTGCTAAAAGCTAGGCATATGTTAGTGATTTATAAACCTTCCCTCAAACACTCACAGTTCTTATCCCCGTTTTATATTTGGGGGTGCAGAGGGGTTAAGGAACTTAACAAAGTCAGTAGGTGGTGAAGCCAGAGTTTAATGCAGAAGTCACAGCTCTTAGTGCACACTCCACCTTCTCTTTTCTTCAGTGCATCCCAGCGTTCTGGTCACTGGGTCCTAAAACCCCCCCGCTTAATTTCCTGATAGGTCTTGGAAAGTGGAGGTGGAGCTAAGTCTGTAGGTCAGAGGTCCCAGTGTGATACCAGGAGGCTGTGCCAGGTTTAGGCCTGGACATCACACAGCCCTTTCCCTTATCACATGAACCAGCCTGGGAGGCCCCAAACTTGCCGCCTCCTGAGGTGAATGAGTCAGTCTTCTCCTGCCAGTGATGGTGAGTACAGAATGATGACCCCTTTCCATAAGACCAAACCTAACATGGCGAATATACTTTTTTCTGAACTGGTGGTATTTTGGAATGACTTAGTGACAAAATCTTTCCCTGTAATGGGGTAGGGTGGAGGAGAAGCTACCTCGGCTTTGGACACAATTAGTTGCTTGTTTCCTAATTGTGTATTTCTTTTCTTTCATCTGTAATAGTTTTCTATTGCATGTAACAAATGATCACAAACTTAAGTGGCTTAAAATAACACCAACTGATTATTTCATAATTTCTGCAGCTCAGAATTTCAGGGATGGGGTGGCCGGGTTCTCGGCTTGGGGGTCTCATATGGCTGCAATCAAGTTGTTGGCTAGGGCAAAGGTTTTCATCTGGGGCTCAGAGGTTTTCTGAGCTCAGTGGTTGTTGGCAGAATTCAGTTCCTTGCAGTTGTAGGACTGAGGTCCCTCTTTTCCTGCTAGTTGTCAGCCGAGCTTGCTCTCAGCATCTAGAGACCACCCACAATTTTTTGTCATGTGGCCCTTTCCATAGGAACTTCTTAGTGTCGATGTGTGCGTTCTTCCAGGCCAGGTGGAGTGCATCTACCTGACTTCTTATGTTGTGACCAGCTGGCCGGAACAAGCTCTGCTTCTAAAGGGCTCACCTGATTGGGACAGGCACACCTGGGTAACATCCTGACCTTAAGATCAAGTAATTTGGGATCTTAATTAGATCTTCAAAATCATTTCAAAGCACCACCTAGGATACTGTTTGATTGAATAACTGGCAAAAGAAGTATGTACACCAGAGGCTTAGAATCTTGGGAGCATCTTAGAATTCTGCTTACCATACCTGATAATACCTAACAGCCATCAGTTCTGTGTTGATTTGTCTGAAGTACAATATATAATATCATAATAATGATTATTTATTTTTATTTATTTATTTTGAGATGGAGTCTCACTCTGTCATCCAGGCTGGAGTCCAGTGGTATAAGTTCGGCTCACTGCAACCTCTGCCTCCCAGGTTTGAGCAATCCTCGTGCCTCAGCCTCCCGAGTAGCTGGGACTACAGGTGTCCACCACCACACCTGGCTAATTTTTGCACTTTTAGTAGAGATGGGGTTTCACCATGTTGGCCAGGCCGGTCTCGAACTCCTGACCTCAGGCGATTTGCCTGCCTCAGCCTCCCAAAGCGCTGGGATTATAGGCCTGAGCCACTGCACCCAGCCATGATTATTTCTTTTTCTTGCCCCCCCACCCCCTGCGTAATGAATATTTTTATTTCATCCAACATGTATACAGTGCTTACTCCATGTCAGGCATGGCCCTAAGAATTTTGCAAACATCAACTCGTATAATACTTACAATAATTCTATTATATAGGTGCTGTTATATCCATTTTACAGATAAGGAAACTGAGGCACAGAGAGGTCAAGCAACTTCCCCAAGGTCATATGCTTCTGTCAGTTTCCGTTAATCACATCAAGCCTAGATAATCAAGTTTGGCAGTGTGATGAATGAAAGTCCAGGTGAGGCCAGGAAGTGGGACTTCTCAGTCTTGATTCTCTTCCCATTGGGGACTTCTCACTAAGTACAAGGCCACTGGCATGCTCACCTAGCGGGTGTGGTATGGTGGGCAAGTTCTCTGTTCTGCTGGCCTTCATGACTCTTGTATAAATCTAAGCAGGCTAGTTCCAACTAGGCAGATGTTTTATCAGAGACTTCACTG